TAGGATTGATATTTACATTTGATAGTTAGGGTTAGGAATTAGACATAAGGTTTTCATCACGGTCTGACATCAGCTATAATACCAAAACTCTATTTAGTCAAATTAATTGATTATTTTCGCCTCAAAATTCAGGATCCGTTAACGTGAACCTGACTGGTCCGTCCATAAATTTTAGTATCGCCATATTTATAGAGTTAATAAAAGTGTTGCCCATCCAAACTTGAAGTCCAGTCAATAAACATTAAAATCTGGGTTTATAGATTTCAATATGATGTATACGCTGATAATCGGGTTTATCCATTGTTTACTAAACGATCTATATCTATGTATGTCACAATTTCCATGAGTGATGTCATACTAAACATATAAAAATGAAATCTTTAAACTGCAGGAAATACTGAAGAAAACAAGTGATAGTGTGGTGTAAGCTACTTATACACACATAAGTAGTATATAACAGTAGTCAGGTATAGAATGTATTCCAGTTGAAGATCGAAGAGGAAGGAACAAGAACGGAAAGCAGTTGGTACGAAAATGCAGAAACAATCAAATCTGAGACGATGTACTGATATTTGCAACAGAAACCGTCAAGTTTGAGACAATGGATTGATATTTAGAAAATTAAGTATTTACTGTATAGTTCTCAGATTTTAGTGAAATATTCTGTAGTTTCGTGTTCTAATATGTTCGATTTACCCCACTGGCATTCTTGTTCACTACAATAGGGTGTCAAAGAATCGGGTTTAACATTAAAATCTTTAAGGATTAAATGACCTATAAAGGTGATATTCTGTAATTGTTCACGACACCTAATCATATCATTCTTCCTGTAACAGATCTGTATATAAGCTGAAAGATTTATTCTTACGGCTAGTAGTTTATGCTTTTGATATCGTTTCATGTTATAATCTCTTTCTTACGGTTATGACCCAGCTATTGCTATTACTTAGTATTCTCGGACACCGATTCACTCGACAAGTCCCCAAATCAGAACACGGTTGAAAAGGAAAGAGATTGTACTCCAAATAACAAGGTTAGATGGAAGTAAGAAGCAAGTAAGTAAGGAAAACGTTAGTATATTTATAGGTTTTACATGAGAAGATTCTCGAGTATTCTCCAAGTATCGACTAGCGCTGATTGGATAAGAATTAGCCAATCAGCGTGCAGTAAAGCAATCGTGCATTGAGCATGCTTTAATCCAGTCTATGTCCCGCTAACAGTTCATTAAAGATGTTTGATTCAACTATCACTTGAACTTATTATATAATTAAATTTATTTATTCATCAACATTGTAATGATTAATTCTAACATTTACAAACCTCATTCAGTAAATCGAAAAATTCTCCCCCTTTAAATACTGAAAAGTATCAAAATATGACAAGAAAGTTATTCTTTTGTTATCCTAAGTTCACTTTTTTATAAAGCATACACATATATAACCATGTAATCTAATGTAATCACATAATAAAACTACAAAGATACAGTCTAGAATTAACATCATACATTAGATGGAAGACAATATGTCAAAAGGATATTTACATATTCTTTTCAAAAGAAAGGTTTAGTTATAAATAAAATAATGATAATCAAACTTGATATACCTAATGTTACTCCAATTTCAAATGTTTGCTCATATTTACCAGTTAATTGATAGAATTTAATTAATCCTGTCCAAGCATAGAATGCATGATTCCAACAATTATCTAAATCACAATTTAATTGTTCATTTATCATTAATTGTTCTTCTTTATCTGATACATCAGAATGTATAACAGTTATATGAAGATAAAAATATTGTACATCATTTAAGGTAGTTGAATTTCTACAGAATGATGGATATATTGTATAGTCACATGTGAATTGCCAATCTTCTTGTGAATATCTAAAAAACGTTTTTGTAAAGTTTGTTGAATTTCAAGACAATAGTTTTTATCATGTACTGTATGACAGTTATTTATTTATTTGAACACATAAATACTGGTACAAGGGGGCACCAAATAGATATGCGCCACACAAATCAAATGAGATTTGTGTGAGGGCTGTGATATTTCCCGGGTGCCCAAACCAAAGCAGGTGGTTTTCTTAGGGGGCCACAGCCGGAACCTTCAACCTAAAGGTCTAATCCACAAGGCAGTAGATCGTCGTAAGGAGATGCAGTCCCATGGTAGCCAGTGACCAACGATTGGTTCATACGTCATTTGTTCCTTCAGGGTACTGGAGCCCATGTACACCATTGGTTTGGATTCAGGGTTTTCCAACTCCCCTAAATGAACTCACTGTGTCCACCAACCCGATTAAAGCGCCTGACATTCACTTTTTGTCCTCTCAATTCCGTAAACAAAGCTCCAACCACGAGAAGGCAGTGAGTAGGACTTCCCTGACAGAGGCTATATATGCGTGGCCATGTGAGAGCATTTCGGGAGGTAGAGCTGACTCTTCCCACTCTCGGCCGTACAAGGGCATTTGGGGGCACTGTATAACAGTATATCACTACTAGTGACTACCTTCAAGATGAATCTGCGAAATTTTTTGTAAGAAGTCATTGTCTGAAGTTCAACAATTCTATAATCGAATTCCATTTAACTGATTTAAAGATATTATACCTACCTGGAACTAGGAAATGAGCGTTACTAAACATTGTCAAATCTATACTATGAAGTTATCCAATTCTCTTTAATTTTCCATAATTCTTCAACTAATATCATTCTGTGATAAAAACTAATTTTGAGTAGATATTTTTGTTAGTGTCTTATAGTTTAAATCAAAAATCATTACGGTAATGATATGAAACTATTCATTATGTGCACGAATTCGTTATTTAAAAAGTTCACAGGAATAATCTGATAACCTTTAATAAAGTTTTATGAGAGGTGAATTTTAAACTTCAATATCTCCAATACGCTAAACAACATTATACTGTAATATATTTTATTCGTTGGCAAGTGCATAAATGTAATTCATTTTCACACATATGACTGTTGCTCATCATCAACTTATATGTGACAGTTATCTTTTACAAATGAAAGTTAATTTAGAATTCATTAATAAGATATTTTAAATACAAATTAATTTAATGCTGATTAACTTCTATTACCAAAAAACAAGCACTGTATTTATTGAATAACAACAAATAATACACCATAGTAACTGAAAAGAAAAAAAGAAACGTAAAATGTTCGTTTATATTCCCTTTTAGATTAGAGTTTACATATAGGATCCTGCTTCACTCTGGGCACCCGAGCGGTATCACAACCCTCACACGAATCAAATGAGATTCATATGGCGCATATGTATCTAGTGCCCCTTGTACTAGTATTTATCTGTTCAAATCACCAAATCAAAAATAGAATTATTCGTCTATTTTTTGGTAAAGGGAAAGGGAGAGGAGGGGACACAGATATTTGTCGATACATTTGACAACTATTTTCGAAATTAGAATTAGAATTAAATAGATTATAAAACAAACATTTGATGAATAGATAGCACAGATATTGTCTCTTTTATTGGCAATCATCATCATCATTATCATCATAAAACATTATCCATTAGAGTGTATCGAAAACTGAAGAAACTGTTATTTATCTAAATTTCAAATGTGAAAGCATTAGAATTGATAAACATCATTAGAAACTATAAACTTATACACTTCATGTAGATTATTCCAATGAATGATTTTTTTTAACTGTTGAAATAACTATATGATAAACCACACTTTTTAACAGTTTACCAACACATAATACACGGTGATATTGTGGTGTGTGCTACTTATATCGAAATGAGTAGAATATAAAGATAGTCAGGATTAGAATGTCTGGCAGAAGAAGGTCGAGAAGGTAAAAATGAGAACAGAAAACAATCGGTATAAAAATTCAGGAACAATAAAGTCTAAGACGATTGACTGATGTTTGCAAGAGGAACAGTCAAGTTTGAAACAATTGATTGATATTTTGAGATGGTAGAGAAGATTTGTAGCTCAGGTGGATGATTTTGATGGAGTTTTTTTCTGAGCTGGATGCTTTGGTCGTGGAGCTTTCATGGTTCTTCTGAACGACATCATCAGCACAAACTTCAGATAGAAGTGAAGTGTTCAAATTTCTCCACATATGGTTCACAGCTTGTCCTGTACACCTCGACGTTGATTGGTTCTTGATGAACCATCAAAATGATTGATACTTTGCAAATGAAGTATTTACTGTATAGTTCACAGATTTTACTAAAATGTGCTGTAATGCTATGTTCAACTATATATTCGATTGTCTTTAATTGTGTATCTCGTTCACTACGATGTTTTTAAAAAAAGTTGTCTTTTTGATGACGATTTCCATAAGTTATAAACATTAAAATTGTTTGGAATTAAAAATGTCATCAAATTTATTGATTACACTTAATAATCAGTTACTTTGTAAGTTGTTAAGTTTAATAAATAAAACTTACTCAATTGATGCAGATATAATTTGTCTTAATGGTATACCTTGTAATTTGCCTTGAATTGCAGAGATTATTTTTAAATACATAGTAGATGTTATATTTGGACAGAAGCCAATTGATGAAATGAGAGAAGATGTATTATCGTTTCCAGTTGATAATTGTAAAACAGGGTCATTTCTGAAAATTGAACAAGAAAAGTTTGAACATAATGTCAGTCAGTCAGTAACAACGTAGAACTTCGTACGTACGTACATCAGTTCGAGTTGCCATACCACATTAGCACAGAGATGCAGTTGTCGATTCAATTCCCATAGTCGTAGAGGTAGCAAGAGTATAAGCAGTAATCGGAAATATTAGGATTTGGAGATGTTATTTAAAGAGTATAATCCAGTGAAATAAATTTGGAAAGAGGAAAAAAGGGACAAGGAGGAATCAGGAGATTAGAATCTGGGAGAACACAAAGAGTGGATGCACCTGCGCCATTGCAAACGATTTTGAGCTGTCATTCAAGGTCTCTAACCATCGGTTGCTATCATCTCGTGGTCCCCAACCAGGTAGTCTACACCTACCAACATGACTCAGTCCACTTGTCAGTAACTTCATGGACTTGTGTCATGTTTTGGTTTGGCCGCCTTTAGCCTCTAGCCAACATAATGTGAAAGTTATATAATCATAACTCTATGTAGCCATCACTTTTTTGTTTGCTTTCTACTGATTAATTAAAGGCTAGTCTCTATATTTAGTTAAAGGTCAGTGAGTAATATTAAATTGATTATTTTTTATCTTCTTTATACTTAATGTTAACTGTTTCAGCAGTTTTTATTACCTTGGATATAAGTTGGTTACTAATACTTACATATTCTAATAATAAATAAGCCACTGTGAACCAGAAATTCAAACGAAAGGATATGCTGAATTTTAAAACTGTTGAACACTAATTACTAATACTTTCCTTTAAACATGTCGGGAGTGAAACGGTTGTCTACAGTGGCATCGAATGATAAACGTTCCATATTATAAATTGATTTAAGCTCGAATTTCCTCGTTGGACGCTGACGCAATGTTCGAATGGTTAAGCATTAGTTAGGGAACCTAAAAGTCCTGGATTTAATTTCAGGTAAGGTGGCGAATGTAAACTGTTGAGAATTCTCGTACTAGAGAGGAAATGGCTGTTTAGTTTTTCCTGTTTCTCAATAGTTGTTTAACTAAGATCATTCTGTACTATAAACTAGCAAACTCATCAATCTTCACAAACCCTTAATACTAACTATAGTTCCTCTTTGATATTAATTAATCGATAGAGATTGAAGGAAATTCACTAGTTTTATAAACTGGTCATTATAACATTAGTTTTTAGCAAGTGATCTATTAATATAGACACTTTGTGCTTACAAGAGACCTGATAGGTTAGCAATAACAACCGTGTCTGTGTCACTGAGTAGCAAGGGTTTGATCGCATATGAAAAATATTAATTTATTTAAGAGGATAGACATATCTTATTGACAAGTGGTAATCAATGTAAAACTTAAATTCAGAATTTGCTGACTACTACATTCAATTTACTAACGGTGAAAGTAGTGTATACAATTAATGTCAAATTATTCTAATTCAACCAGTAGAAATGAACCAGCAATACGATATTGCTTATTATTAAATGACCAATTATTACTGTTTCTTATTTTAAAAAAACACATTAAGTTCATTTGTTCATTTTACATGATAATTTACCCGATAGCTAATTGTTGGGACCCGAAAAATATAATGAATGGTAACTTTGGGATGCTTTATGGACAAATATTAAACGTATATTTCTATTGTATAATTATTAAGTAACTAAACTATGCATATTCATATTCCACTTATTATAAGCTTTATTTTGACCTATGAACCATTATTATACGTTTTACCATTCTTGAGTTATACCCAGTATATTGATTAATACCTCCCTCATTCACAGCCACATCTGGCTAATTCTTGTACAAATGTTGTTTAATATTTTATTGGTACGTTGTGGTCGGTTTGATTTTGGTATATAAACTCAGTATGATTAAAATATAATTATTCATATCTCACAGGCTGAGACTTGCGTTGTGGATTTAACTGGCTGGGCTAGGCGGAAAGCAGGACCAATCAGGACTCTAGGTTGTTCTCACGTGTTTTACGCGTCTTTGGTCCGATCAATCATCCTCTGCCATCTAATCTTCAGTCACAGTTATAACACTAATGTTACAAGTTCAATTCATATAATTAGTAATTTATTTATTTATTTACTACGTCATTCATTATTTCAACTCTTTCTGAAGTTTCAAATTACATCATTCATAACTGACTGATTCCAATTCATATCTTTCTTTATTATCATCTATTTTCAGTTACTTCATCATACAATCATCTAATGTTTATTAACTCCATTAGTTCTAATCACTATTTCAATGTTCTGGAACTTTCCCTGCCAAAATTTGTTTATTCGTAACAAAATTTTATTACTTTATTAACTCTATCGGAATCTTCGCTACCTCATAATACATATATTCATCCTTAATCACCTTCTTATGTATAAATTAGTGATTTGGTCAAAATACATAAATGATAGTTTTCGTCGCTGACTGATTTTAACTAGACTATCATTGAAATTCAAAAAGTAACAGCTCCATATTTTTATTTCAATTTCAGTTGTTTTATGAAAGTTGCACTACGGTATAAACTTTTTAATTTGAACAACTTTCTTAAAAGTATCAACTTGAATAATAGAAGCTTAGTGTAAATTGTTCAATTTTATAGTTCACACCATGAACTGATCTTAGTTGAATAAGCATAAAAATCACAAAGGACTGAACAGCTGTTTCGTCTAAGTCTGAGACTTCTCACCTAACTCTACTTATAACCTCACTGAGTATTACAATCAGGACAATCATGTCTCGCAAAGTACACTTAATATCTAGATCATTGAATTATCATTTAATGATATACATTTATAACTCTGATCAATTTGTGTTGTTGAAAAACTACTTCTTCACTGCCATTGTTCAGTAACTGTCTGGTACTCAATATAGTTGAACTAAGCTAGTCACAGATTCATCCATCGAAAACAATTTCTTAAAACTGATCACTAGTGATGACATGATTATTATTACAGCAAAATATTTATGGAAACTATTAAAATTTAAAATTTACACTACAAACTGCAAATTTGTCTTATACCATCAGGAAATAAGTTTACTGCTTCCTAAATTTAAATGATTATCGAATTAAAGCTGCTTAGTGATTTAAACAAGAAAATCAAATAAGTTATAGTTTATTTTCATAATTTAACACATAACACACGACACATTTTGTTCTATCCTAGTGAAGATTAAATTACGAGTAAATTCTGAGACCTATTAATGGACCACTATTATCTATCTATTCTTATGGTATAACTATTCAGTAATTAGATTGTGTATGTCTATATTTCCCATATTATAAGCTTCATTTCGACCGATAGATTATTATTGTACGATATACTATTCTTATGTTATACTCAGTTCATTAACTACTGTCTCCCACATTCACAGCCACATTTTGGCTTTATTGTGTATGAATGTTATTTCCTAATTTGTGGTGCGTTGAGGTCTGTTTGGTTGATATATAAATCCAGTATGTTTGGAATAAATTATCCACATAGTGGAGGCTGTTATTGACATTGTGAACTCAGCTGGACGAGCTAGGCGAGCAACGGACCAATAGAACGCTAGGTTGGTCAGACTGAACGAACGTCATTGGCTTAGTACAGTGAAAGGGTCAATAAGTTGTATTTTGACCGGTGAAGAAATTACGTGAATAAAGACGAAACATGTTTTATGAGTATGTAGTTACTAGTGATTATAAAAACACTGAAAATGATAATATATCTAATGGAATATAATATTAACCTGTGTATAAAAATCCAATCCTCTGGTGAAGTTTTAGATGCTTGTGGGTAGGTTGCAATTACTTCACTTGGTATAAATTGATTTAATCGTGCAATAATAAGACTTCTATAAATAATTTTTTCAAAGAAAGAAAAAATACTTACACAGTCCAACTTTCGGTATAATTAAATAATAATAATAATAGTAATAGTAATAATAATAATAATCTATTATAGATAATAAGATAATATTTAATGGGAATTCTAGAGTGTAATATTTTGTCATTATTTTCTTAAAGTTAACTCCGCCTGTAACCCCTCTGGGGCCACTGCCGGTCCCAAGCCCGGATAAAAGAGGAGGGTTGGGCATAGGGTTAGCGATCCCATCTCGTAGAAAACTAACTCGATAAAAAACGCTAACCAGAAGAAATAATTCAAACCATTTAATGTTTATTTATTTTTGTTATCATTAACCTTTTTTTCACATCCATTAGTTGCTTGTAATTTTCCCCCTCTTGCCGTTTGTATTCTTCGCTATCTAATTATTTGTAAACTCTTTATTACGTAATGGTTTTGATGTTCTGTAATGATTATTTTAAGTCTATTTACCCACGTTTGATCTTCTATATCCAATGTTTAACTATTGACAAGACTTTTGTGATAGACTAAAATTTATGGACGGACCAATCAGATATAAGATAACAATTCATGGATTTTGGCGCGAAATTCACTCATCCATTTGGTTAAATAGAGTTTCGGCATTATAACTGATGTTAGTTCGTGATGAAAACCCTAAATCTAATTTTTTTAACCCTAACCATCATAATTCTAATTCCTCACACGGGTTTATAGCCTTCATTTCGTCCTAGTTATTAGGTGAGAACTCTCGAGTTCAGTTTAGCGTCGCTTAATGGTCCTCCATAAATTATAGTCTCACCGACTTTTGTTATCGTATTTTATTATTCTTACTACTATCAGTACACCTGTCTTCCTACTATCAACTTGTACTTTTACCTATTATGTGTGGTGACTTATTCTATTTCATTGTGATTATTGACCCAAATTGCCTTGATTGGTTTAGCATTTTCGTATAAATATTCATGTATATTAGAGTAAAGCCTGATGATGATCTAATTGAAAACAATTGTTGGCTTACATGTGTTATTCTAATTTTAACAATGAGAACATTTAATTATCCAAAATAGATTGTTTTTCCACTTCTGTATAGCACTTCCAATTTCATTAATCAACTAATAAACAACCTTAAGAGGATAAATCTGTCGAGGCACATGATCCATAACCTTAGATGGCTTCAAAATCAGTTAATGTCAAATGTTCCAATCAACATGGGAAGTGGAAGATCATGTTCATCGATAGCTAAGCACATAATTGAAACGGGCCCCGGAATTGACAGCTTTTGAAACGTTGTATAGAAATTTTAAAGGACGAATTTTCAGGTTTTCGGAAGCCATTGGCTACTCGTAAACTTACCCCCCCCCCTTTATGTGTACAAAAATCATTGGTCGTAACCTTGAATTTGCCCTGGTAATCGTTAATTCATTTTATGGCCCAGGGTAAGGCGAAAATTTCCCATTCTTTCTATACAATGTCAATTATTCTCTCGTCTTTGTTCATTCAAACCTCTATTTGAGAGATCAGATTGTTCGAAATGTATGGAGTAAATAAATAATATTCTCCAGATCAAGTCTATCCTTTAAATGTTTTATCGAAATATATGTAAGTATATAACTCAAACCTGTTTCTTTGGGAGTTTCATTTTAACCGAAAACGGTTTTTGCTCAAGGTGACACGTTTAAACAACTACGGATAAGCAGGTCCTGTTTTAAGCGAAGTCGATGAAAGTATACTATACTAACGACCTAAAGGGAACCAATCAGAACTAAGATAACACCTCATACATTTTTATGCGAAAGGAAATACAAAGTAACAGATAGCTTGTATGTTGTCACAAACTAAGTGGAAATCGGCATTTAGTGTAGTGCAACTAAATTTAATAAATTACCCAAAATCTATTTCTTACCTTAGTTTATCGCAATTTGTAAAATCGTTAAGACCCAAAAGAACACGACAGGAAGTGATCACAGTTTTACCAAACTTAAGCTGATCGATTTCTGAATTTTCACATAACATATCTTGGCCTAAAATTAAACAAATAATACTTTCTTTAATTTAAGAGTATTCCAATATGAAATGAAAGCGAACATTTGATCGTTTGATCAGAATTGCACATATTTTCATTAGTTTCATACTACCATAGTATCAGTTGGGCAGTCACTATCAGCAACAACCTACTGTTGGAGAGAATAAACCAGATTTCAATGGAGGAAGAAATCAGGAAGAAGCATTGGAAGTGGATAGGACACATTTTGAAGAAAGCACTCAGCTGCATCACAAGGCAAGCCCCCACTTGGAATCCTCAAGGCCATAGGAGAAGAGGAAGACCAAAGAACATATTACGCCGAGAAATGGAGATAGACATGAGAAGAATGAATAACATTTGGATAGAACTAGAAAGTACGGATCAGGACAGGGTGGTTTGGAGAATGCTGGTTAGCGGCCTATGCTCCATTGGGGGTCACAGGCGTAAGTAAGTAATCGTAAACTACCAAAATACTTTAACATATATTATTTTATAGGAATGTAATTCTCCAAAAGGCAATGACAACCATTTACCGATAGTCAAGATTACATCTGGGGATAGCCAAAAGAAATTTTAAAAAAATCGATTTACATAATGACAAACAAGTTTAGAGCTTAACATAACCGGTCACGTAATTAACCAAGGGAAATGAAGTTAGTGATAATTACATATAAAGTTTGCTATAAACTACCGATATTTCTTTCGGTCACCCAGCAACAGAGTATAGTCTGGGAGATATTTATTTTGGCTCCAGTCACCATGCTGGATTTTTACAGCAAGATGAAATCAACAAGATATAGTAAAAAAGATCAGAATAGTGTGGCATCGACAATGAAAAAGAAACTAAGGATTGAAATTTGGGCTCGAGAAAACAGTTAAAGGGTGTATATGAAAAAGTATCGAAATTTTGGATCGATGGTTAATTAAAATAAAATTCTTAGTTTAATTAGAAACAGAATTGAAACACAAAGTAATGAAATAAGGAAATAAAGTACAGCAGATTTTTTATCTGAATCGAGATAGAAACATTATCTTACAGAAATATGTATTGTGAACTTTGGTCTTGCTACGTTTAAATAGATTACGATATCACCGGCGAATGGAACGAAAGTCAGCAACAAAACAACAGGACAAGCTAAGTTATTCCACTGCGCCCCAGCCTTGATAGCTGGAGGGAGATCAGATTCAGCCGGAAAAAATATATATTGTACAAACAGCCGGGAGCACAATCGAACAAGCCCACAACTCATGCGTAAAGATACAGTACATAAATATCTTTGAAATACATCACAAAGTAGCGTAATAAAAGAGGAAACGAATCAATGGCATTTAAGGTCCTTTCAGGTGGCGATTAAAAAATTAAGAGAAAATTAAGGGCTTTTGGAGTAAAAATAAGAAATTCAAATTTCCATAATAAAATTACAAAACCAGGCGTTCATCAACCGATTTCTAGGGAACACGTATTTCGTCACAGTTAAGACTCATCAATTGGATGTACCTAAATTTCATCGTTAAACTCCCCATCTGCACTTGAGCCCAATATTCATAGCTTAAAATTGTAAAATGTCACCCATTAGACTGTAGTGGGGCAAAAGCTAAGCACGGGAATGACGTTAACTGTTGATCGATGTGTAAATTTAAGTAATATCGAGGTATTATTTCAAGAAGTTTGTACTACTAAGAAAGACTAATCCAAGTCAGTCCTGAATACCAATAATTATAAAAGTTATTTATTTTCAGGTAATTTTGTATCCCAAACTGGATAAACAAGTGTCTGACTCGTAGTCTTGAGATCATAAACTTTTTACAGAATGACTGACATTATTAAGGGGTCTTGAACAAAAAGAACGAAACTATTCTATACTTTCTATATTTATTAGTTCTTGATGTGATATTTATTAACCGTTAAAGTTAATTTTATCATGTCAAGCTGTATTAATAGGTTGTTTCATTTCCCAGTTTAAAACAAATAACTGAATAAAAGTCTTATTAAATTCCCTTATAAGTTGATATCCAGGAAAAAGAACAATAATTGGAGTGCTACACTAAAAACGAACTCTCTTTGGAGGAAAGAACCACATTATTAATGACAAAGTTTATGAAAATCTTATTTCTTACCAGTTCTTATAACACCTGATTTGATATTAGTTTCATCATCCGTTTGAACTAGGAAACGTTGAATAGAAGATGATGTAACTTGACCAGTTACAATTAAATCATCCAACTCATAACCTTGATAAGAATAATTTACGTAGAAAGTAAACAAAAAAAAGATAAGGATTCACTTTTGATGAATAAAACTACGTTGTCAACAGTGGTTAAAATATATATCATACAGATAAACCAATCAGAATTCAGCTGGCGAATAACTGTTGAATTTTTGCATGAACTTCCAAACTTGCTGAAGGTCATCGGAAGAGCATACTATCATGACAACTACTTACAGAATATGAAAGTGATTAAATGTCAGAATTTTAGAATCCACATTTTTTTTCTAAATAACTGACTTATTATATTGTTGTGTATGTTATTTATGTCGATAGACATAAGTAGTATGTAACAACAATCAGAAATAAAATGTCTGACAGTAGAAGGTTGAGAAAATCGAATTGAAGAGAACGGGGATGTAAACAGAGATTAAATGTAATAGTAGTATAGAAACGATGGGATAATTGATGGAAGATTTGCAAATAAAATATTTAATGTATGGTTTTTCACACTTTACCAAATAACTCTGAAATTATGCATTGAATAATAGACTAGTGTTCCCTACTTGAGTCTTCGGTCATTACAGTATAAAGCTGGTTATTTTATTTCACAGATTCATTCTCATCAGAATGAGATTAGATGTACACATTTCATTAGCTTATGTAAAAATGATAGGAATTGTTAAAAAAGATTCATAAAAGTATAAATATCGATATGTAAGTATGATAATACTTAAACGAATGGTATGTTATTTTGTCGTTAGTTCTGATTTAATTCTAAGATCCAATTTGTAACTTGATTCAAAATTATAATGTACTGTATCTGATCTCAGATTTACTTCGAAGTCCAATATAATGCCATAAGTACATTTTCTCTTCATCGTCATTATTATTATTATTATTATTAGCTTTATTCAATAGTATATTTTTGGTACAATAAGCAATTCTCAGCACAAATTATTTCAACAAGTTTCCTTTTCTTATTTCTTGATCGACCCTTACGATAAATATTGAGTAGTTACTAGTTAGATATTAGCAGTTCATGAATCGACATCTGAATAATGCATATTCTTTTCGATGCATATTGCCAGCAACCACATTGTCTCGGATTGAGCTCTTTTGTATCATATACAGCGAAATGTCGTAGAGTTTTTACAAACGCACCTGAATAACTTATGCGATTAATAGTTATAATGATGTGTTAAAATAAACAAGAAAACAGATGACTTGTTGAAATATCCAGATGGCAGGGATAGGTAACCCAGATATTCAAGCAGTCCGCCTTGGTTTAATTGTAATGTTTAGATATATGACAACGGTAATGATTGAAGTTTGTATGATGTTTTAACGATTGATGAAGTTTAACTGTTTATTTAACAGAAAGGTTCAAGAACTAAGTCTAAAATCTGGCCTAATAATATTATCATTTATAGAATTACGTACAATGAAATGTAACAGTTCATAATAATTATTTGAAAGACAAATGGAATGTTATGTGTAGGTGACTCTATATACTAATTCAAAATTTCGATGCATTTATATCATTGGTGTGAGTAATATAATTCACCACACATAATTTGAACTACACAAGATATAACTCAGACTTATAAAGCTTGAGAATAAAGCATATTCAGCTAAGAATATGAAATGATTTTGTGAAACAGAAAATCTATCATGAAATGACGATGATTTCAAATAGAAAATTTGAAAGAAATGTTAAGTCATTCTGATGAGAATCGAATGAAATATATTCTTGTAGTTGAACATTCAGAAGATTTTCATTTTCGAATTATTCTTTTGTTTAAAGTTGTCGTATAGATTTACCCTTGGATTATTAGAAGAGTTTAAGAAATCGATTCAAGAGTTCAGTCAGAAGAATTATCAGTGGTGACAGAGAGAACTACAATGAACATTTCTTTTGAACAACTAGAGGCCTATATAGAGTGTCAAGAGAAACGGTTTGAACTGTCTCAAATAAGAATCATGGGAGCCCTTATGCAGAAAATGTGCCTGCCCTGACAAAACCCCACTTTTGGTGAACTACAAGTAACAAACCGACTCAGTCATTAAACAATCCATGAATTTAACTTTGATGGTTTAGTAGGCGTTACATTTGACTCATAGTTCAAGAAATATGAAGATCTGTTCCATATTGATCTCTCCAAACTGGATGACGCTTCAGAATTCAGAATACTTCTAATAAAACTTGGAACGACAAAACATGAAGGTTATAGTAACTTTATTCTTCCAAGGAACCCAAGGGACTTGAGTTTTGATGAAACAATTAAAACCCTGTCTCAAATCTTTGGAGAAAAGCCATTGCTTTTTAATATCCGTTACCAATGTTTGAAGATGACTGGGTGAAACATCCAGGAATTATGAACTGAGAATGTGAAAGGTTCAAGTTGTCTTCCATGACAGAAGACCATTTTAAATACCTCGTATTTGTCTGTAGTCTGCATTCACCCGAGGAAGCTAATATCTGAACAAGAATCCTAAACAAACTTGAATATTGTCCCAGCATTGCGTCACAGGAAGTAACTAGCGAATGTCAAAGATTAGTCAAGTTGAAACATGACAGCTCGATGGTTGAGAACAGTAGCCGGTTACATCACGTCAATGTAGTCGCGAGAAAAGACTTACGAGGTTTCAGCACGCAACTGACTGATTGAAATCATTCATTATTTTGATAATCATTAAATTACTTTTATTGATGTTATTTTTGATAGTCCGAAAACGAAAGTACTATTCATATCGAAAATCTGTTCTTTTGGTTAATTACAGGTTTAGAAGCTTTAGGTTTCATGTCAAAATGTGAATAATAGATGGATTATGCCGAAGTTTAATTTAACTGAATTTTCTAAAATGAGATAACCCATCAAAATACTTAATAAAAAACAAGACAAATTCTTTTAGATTTCAGATGTGTTCTATCAATATTTTCAATTTACCATAAAGATGTGACGGTAGCTTTGTGTCAATTTCATTGTCTACTTCAGTAGTATGAATAAATTTGACAGAATATTCCTGATAATATGTTATTTCAGTGCTAGTTACAGGTAAGTTGGCCATATATACTTGAGCTAATGCTTCTTGTATACTTCCATCGGACCATACAAATCTATTATAAAGAAAAGCGATTAAGAAAATTACCAAATAATCTTGGTTAAAGCATGTAATTTTCTAGGTAAACAAAAAAGCCTTCTACTTTAATCAAGAGAAAAAAAGAGAAAATTATAGCTTTCATTCAAATTGTTCTTCTATGATTTTCAAAGAAAAATCAGCTACAGGAAATATGCTGAAGAGAGGTATTTCATCTGGGGAAGTTCTTCGAATGATATCAACTTTTGACAGAATCCAATTTCAAATATTAATAATAATAAAACTTTATCGCTTTTCATTTAAAGGTGACAGTTGTGAAGTTCCACCATCTAGTGAGCAAAAATTTATTTAAAATATCAAAATACTACTGATAGGTGTTTGAAAGCTTGATTTAATTCGAATGATTTGTAGTCTGACACTTTTCTTAAGTTATCAGTATAAGGGTTTTGGAGATTATTAATTTTTTGATTAAGATCATGAACTGACTGATGTTAGACCACCGTTGAAAACCTGGAAGCACTGGACGACCGTTTCGTCCCATTTTGGGACTCTTCAGCACCATTGGATGTCGGCTCAGTGTTCCAGTAGGTTAGGCGTTCGTGCGCGAGACTGAGGGCCCTGGGTTCGAATCCCGCGAGTGCGGTCGTGGATGCACACTCCTGAGGAGTCCCACAATGGGACGATACGGCCGTCCAGTGCTTCCAGGTTTTCAACGGTGGTCTAACATCAATCGGTTCATAATCTCAATCAAAAACTTTCCTTAAGTATTTATTCAACAAAAAATGATAATTTTATACGTTTACTAGCAAGATCCTATATTAAATATTTCATTAATCTAGGAGTAACTATGATGAGATTTTTTATGGTAAGTTATGACTACTACAAATGAAATAACAAGATATTGGTCCAACTTGTCTCTTATGATTAGTTGGTACGATCCATTTTAAAGATATCTTGGTATTTGGTGACCGGTACTAGTGGACATTGTGGATTCTGGAAAAAGACACAATTATTGAATGTATCCATGGCAAACCTTTATATTGCTTGATAGAACAGTTTTATATGGATTCTAAAAAGTCAGATAATACAACATTTGCTTGTAGTATCACTCTAGGATCTGGTGAATGAAATTCGAGTGAGCTTATGGCTCAATTTTCATCATATGCTATCATATATGAGCTAAAGGTCCAAGTGTATAAATGTACTCATATTACCAAGTAAATTTTACACACATGTAAATAGACTAAATCATATAGAAATGGATATCGCCATATCTATGGAAATCCACATTGATAACTGCTCACTCTAATTTATGAGAAGAGAAAATCCATTTTTATAAACATGGAAAACTTAGCTAAAATGACTTGAAAATTGAAAAGTTCATACTGACTCCACACCTTTGCGGAGCTCAATAACAAAAGTCCTGCAGAAGTAGGTAAATTACAAACTTAAATTGAAATTTGCTTATTGGATGTTTGCCGTTCACCAAGTTATCGGGTAAGTGCATACCTGATGGGACTAAATGAAATCCTGAGACTGATATAAAAAACTGGTTTTACATTCACCAACCTACTTCATCAATAGCATCGGTCAGATATCTAACAGTCAACTAAGGGTCTTTAACACAATAGTCCCATCAGTACCACTGTACGCGTATAACACCTGTTTGATTCATATGCATGAATACATGAATAAGCAATATATATTTTACCATTAACATCAACACATAGCACTCTTGTGGCGGAACCAATGAGTTAAAAATATTTCGGTTAAGTGACAAGCGACATTTAAGTTGTGAACCAACACTAATCAAAGTAAAGAGTCATGGTTTGAGGATACCTAGTTAGGTAGTAGGCATACGCCATATTACATAGATTAGTGACACGATTAGAATATTCACTTGATTATGATTATTATTACTTGTCTTATTTCTGTGGGAGCCAGCACTGTGAATTTCGGTAGATGGTAGCCTGACACGTGTCATATCTTATGACAATACTGACATTTATATACTCAGTGGTCTAGAGGTCGATCGTTCGCGCGCGAAACCGAAGGTCATGTATCCGGTACCCTGGTCAAAGTAGTTGGAGTGAACTTCTGTGGTGTCTCATACTAGGACGAAACAGTGGTGCAGTGCTTTTTGGTTTTTAATGGTGGTCTAACTAGGATCAGTTCGTGATTGAAAACTATGGAAATTCTATAATCTCTACAAGAACCTATACCGATAACTATTTATATTTTACTGTCCTTGTACTTTTTTATCTGAGGACAAAAGCTTATCTAGAAAATATTTCATATAAGAAAGAGGAAAAACTCACTTATAATCCACTTTCATTACGACATTGTTGCATATATTATTCGATAAATCAATGTCAGGTGGAAGATCGAAAGCATTATGCCAAGGACAGGTAGTTGGGACTAGGTAATTTGACTTCACTGAATTTTGTAATGGGATACATGAAGTCGATTTAGACGTTGCATTATATGTACAGTTATGATTGAAAAAACCGGTTCGATTTATTTGATCTACATTAACATTTGACTAAATGAACATTGAAATATAGCAAGAAAAGGTAGAAAACACTTGAATTTGTCGGATATTGGACGACGTTGTAATTTTAAACGAGTACTTTAAAACATACTAGATATTAGGAAATTTAATACGTACTATGGATTTAACAAGAATTTGCCTATAAATGGTGTTTAAAAGTCGTCATGAAGTAATTTCGCTCAATTAAATTTGAACCCATCACACTAGATGTTGCATCACTAGTGACCGATTCATGAAACCATTACGGGAATCTTCATAAACCTCAATCAATTCGTAATTTATCACAGACGATCAGAACTGAAATAAACGTTTTCAGTCTCTTCATTAGTAATTGTCAGTTTAAATGTATAATGCATCATTTTTGAGCTATTGATTTGAGATAGCCACTAAGTTTATTGACGGGTATGTGTGCATCATAAATTAGTAAGAGTTTGAATTGTTTCATTGATATTCAAGATTGGAGTTAAGGTAGGTATATTCGCCTGATGAACTTTAAGTAGAACAAAATGTATGACCTAGAATGAATTGCTAGCCACACACAAAACATATTAAAACTTGTAGCATAAAACCGTATCGAGGAGGTATCCTCAGGAAGTACATATAGCAAGAGACATTGGTCAGTTGTAATCTTGAATGTGAAAAACGGAAGATTGAAAATCCCTAATAATACTTATCATTAAAATTTAAAAAATCCCATACATAAATATTTCAATTTATGACACAAAAATAATACCTAATCAATGATAACTAATAAAAAAACTGAATTATCACATACCTGAGAAGACATTGTAAAGTTCTGTAATTCATTTTGCTTTAAACAAAAATAATCCACCTTTACTGGGACTGGTGTATCATCTCGTAAACGATTCATGCGTAAACGAAATATTGATTCAGAATTTCTTGATATTGCTAAATCATCAATTAAATAAGCACGTGCAAATAAACGGTCCAATAGTGTTCTCGGTCCCCAGCCTAATTATGTTATGAAATATATATATATACGAAAAATTGGATTTTAAATATACAAAGGTCCAACATATATTTACTTAAAATTGTTGTACTTCAACTGCTTTTTTCATAGCTTCCATCAGAGACTGAACTTAATTCAGCAATTATTGGAAACCAGGAGGCGCTGAATAGCTGTTTTGTCCTAGGATGGTATTCCTCCAACTAACAATCACATTGGATGATGGTTAAGCAGTAACGCGAAATGATGAAACTAATGAGAGCAAACTATTGGATGATAACTTAAAATTCTAAGAGTCGAACTTTAAACACAAAATTTGAAGTTCTTTAATTCAGTTTCTATGAGGGTATGGATATGCACTGCTGAAGATCTTCATAATAAGACTAAACGGATGTTCAGTGCTTCATGGTCATCAATAACTGTTTATCTAAGGTTAGTCCTTGAAATAACAATGAAATTCAACAATCTCCTCCAACTCCTCGAACTAATGATACTGCAACAGATTGAGTTCAGTTGGTAAAAGTAAGTTTATTCTGCCTGGTTAGTAAATGATAGATTCATTTAACTGTTTCTTTAATTCTGACTAAATATAGACTGTTACTACTATTTGAGATTTAGTAGTAATCAATGTCCTGTTATTTATTCTTTAGAGCATTCTCGATTCTCTCGATTAAGATGAAATATACCGGCTAAAGATAATGACTCTATAATTCAATAAACTTTATTTAATGACCAACGGTTGAAGACAAGCGGTGGAAAGCTGCAGACCATGGTCTATTGTTAGAACTCGTTGGCAAAACATACCTGTAATATTGTGAAAACTGATTTCATATTTGGGTTCAAACCTATTTTACTCAGAGTCGAAAACAATCGTGTTGCAAGTGAGCTATTCACATGGTGATTCATCATTAGACAGTTCATTTCAAATGGGTTTACATGCAATAAACAGTCATGAAGTATGCATTCAGACAAGATCAACACTCATTTAGTATGATGAAGAGATCAGTTAGATTATTGATTTTATGCAAAATTCTATGATTTAATATAAATTTAACTGAGTAGAAAGAATAGCGGGAATTACATCTTTTTCATTATATATTTCTGGTTGATAATCATCTAGTAGAAACTGTTCACTTGAAGAACTAAGGAATATATACATTGTGCTTTGCATCAGTATATAATATTTTGAAATATAAATAAACATAAGTTAAGAGTGAAAGAAATTTAGAATTATTTTTTTAAAAGACATATTGATAACAATTAAGTAAATCTTTTTAATGTCGTTAATTAATATTATGGCATCAGTCCTTCAAGTCACTAATTTCTGATCTGAGCCATGTCGGCAGATGCAGACTACTTGGTTGGAATCCGCATAATTATTGTGACCAATGGTTGGAGACTCTGGATGACATGGTTCAGAATCGATCACAACGGCGTAGGTGTATACACTCTTTATGTTCCCTTAAGCTGTGGGATTAAAACTGTTTTTTATCTTTCTTTCTACGACCTAATTCTTTCTTCCTGTATCATATCCTCATATACAATCATTATTTATAGATTACTACCGTTAAAGTAACTACTTATATGAATTTGTCCATGTTGTTGTGATAATGAGGTATAGCAACTTGGATCGATGAGTATATGTGCCTGGTCCTACGTTGTAGCTGACTGACTGACTGATGTTCTCCTTGGCCATCACGAAATCCTAATGATTAAGTTTGAAATAAAGGTTCAGGGAGAAGAAGTTAATAAAAATAGTAGAAAAGCAATATGCATATGCATGTGCTTTACTTTTATGTAAATTAAGACTCGTTGTTAGTAATAATTACAAAATAAGACTCACCAATCCCTATATTGTTTTTTATATTGATTGCGTCTTGACATTGCATGACTGACAAAACAATAGGACATCTATAAGTAATTCGATCAGAAAGATATTCTACGGGAATATTTGATTCAAAATCACAGTTCATTTCATTAGGTAAAACAAAATACTCATTATATTGACTAACGAGAATAGATGGATCATCTGAAGTTGTTAAAATTACCGGCTGTATCATTAAAAGTAATGGATCACCATTTGTATATAAACGTTGTTTTTTATTGTTTTGATCAACTATAACTTCTCGAATACCTAAATCATTAATTCGATCTAATGGATATTCAGTTTTAGCACTTTTAGTATTCTTACTAAAGTCATTAAGACTACGAGCAGGTGAAAGTGAACTGTGAAATTTTCCAAGAACTGCACTATTATCAACAGCAACACATAGAAGTGGATGATAATCTGGTAATCTTGTGAAACCTCGATTAATTAAATCAATTTTATTTTCTTCATTTTCAATTCGATCTAACATTGCATCACAGCTATGATAATTTGGAAGATTGAAATAACCGCCAAAAAAACTTGATGACATGACTGTAGACTGATTGACAGGACACATCTGATAAGAAACAAGAAATATTACACTACAAAGTTCTGCAAAACTAAGAATCCTTAAGTTTATAAATCATTCAACTGAATAAACTTTTATGAGTATTCATCGCTTGACTGCATTAACTGCATCAAGTTGAATGGAAATATATTCAACAATCCAAATAATTTATAGAACTTCTCTTTGTCATACTACTACTTAAAAGTACTGAGATAGTATTGTGGTGTGTGCTACTTATATTGACATAAGTAGTATATGTTAGTCGTGAACAGAAGGTCTGGCAGCGGAGAGACAAGAGGATCAAACAGTAGAGAATGGGAACAGAATGCAATTTGTATGACAATGCAAGGGCGATGAAGTCTGAGTCATTATGAGATAATTGATGGACATTTTTGCAAATTACGTATTTACTATTTGATTGTTAGATTATATTAACAAGTCCTGTAATTTTGTGTTAAGTACATTCGATTGTTCTCCACTGGTGTTCGTGTTCACTACAGCATGATCACTATTTTTAAGTTCATATTCAATGAATAGTAAGACGAAGTTATTTATTTCATATTGCGGAAGACTATGATAAGAATACATACCATTATTTAATCAACTTAAGGATAGGATATTTTAGATTTTCTTATCCATATGGCGTAACGAAAGACTTTGTTTAACTAAACTGAACATCTGAATTTAATCAAACTCTAATTAATAACAAATAATGTATGAAAGTTTATATTACATTCATGTTATTACTTGGAAGAGATCAAATATCTTGATAGTAATCACATAGTAATTTATACATAATTGTAGATATATAACTAAAGAAGCCTCTCTTCGAAAGAATAGGAACTCTTCAACACGATTGAAATCCACAGTTAAACCAGTCCACATTAATGATTTTTGTTCTAAATCAAACTGAGACACAAAATAACTGCACTGACTTTTACGTAGGTTTGAACTTTAATGAAACTTCAAGATTGTATTCATAAATCATATTCATAAGTGGAGTAAGATAATATAGTTCAGTTTAACGAGACGTAGTGACGACCTATCTATGTCTATCATCAGTTTGATGGCAGAAATATTTAATGCTTTGCTTTATTTTTAGAGTTATGTTTGGTTAAAAATACGTTATTATGAAAGTGAAATCTCGGAAAGCGATGATCTCGTACAAGGTATGCTCAAAACTCTTTCCGAATTAACTGATTTTGGTAAAAGGATTTACAGAATCAGGGTGACACGAATATCTAATCAGTTATGTGATTTTTTAGAAGTGTTTTCTTGTTCAGATACACTTACGTTATCGCATGGACATCCAAGGTCACATGTATTTATGGTTAGGTCACAGGGACAAGGAGAAATTTGCGTCCATACAGGATCAGGATAGGGAAATGTTTGATCTATGGAAAAAAGTTAGAACAAAATGTTAATTCATATCAAAACGAGTTAAGCAGTAAATCAAATTATGAAAATTCAGAATCGTGAAGAAATTATTCCGTTGACGTATCTTATACATATTAAAAAACGCATCCGAAAGACAGATTATAGACATCATTTTGAGAAGAAAGCTCATATGAATTAACGCTGTCAGGTGTTCGTGTACAATTTCCCGGGTTTCGCTACCTTTAATTCATTTTGGGCAGCACAGTACTATCACCAACCTTTCAGCATAAAGGGTGACTCGAGTGAGGCAAGTACATAGATTTTTACTTGTTAGATATGCCACGCAACAATTCAAAGAAATATACACCATCTAACCATATAATTAACTTATCAAATCTTAAATCTTAGACATTGATTAACTAACCTGTTGGTAATTCTTCACCTTTATTAATAATTAAACGAGATTTAAGTAGAACATTAATTCGACTTGTTGTTACAATATTAGCAAATGCTGGATCCATTGTAGCATTTTTTGTAGTACTGCAACATTTTAAAATTAATATTTCCATTGTATTATCATATTCATTTGTTGGATATGAGTTACGTTTCACCGTAAGTAAACGTGTAAGTGAATCTGTACGACTTGATATTGATGATGCCTATAAATATATATCATAAAATAAAATGCTTTTTTTCCCTTTAAAATGACTTAAAGAAGTAGAATGCTGTACTTTTTAGCAGTTTTTCAAAGGTACTTATTTAGAAAGATAGCTTATTTGTCTGGTTAATACTGATTATTATCTAAAAGAATATTTGAATTTCAATGAAAAGATGATTAAGTTACATTCGTGGCAATAAAAAAATTGTTAGCCAATTTAAAAGACGTTCAACAAGATCAGTTGTGAGATAGTAACTCACTGAAGACAATGGTGTATATGTCGCTCAATTTCGTGGATTAATTGAAGTTAGATATTAACACCGTTGGATGCCAGCTCAGTGGCCCAGTGGTTAAGCGCTCGCGCGCGAGACTGATAGGCCCTGAGTTCGAATCCCGCAGGGCGGGATCGTGGATGGGCACCGCTGAGGAGTCCCACAAGAGGGCGAAACGACCGTACAGTGCTTCCAGGTTTTCAATGGTGGCCAAGCTTCAAATGAGAATATAAGACATAAGTAAAGGGGGAATGCAGTAATAATAATAATAATAGAATAATAATAATATTAATTAAGATCAAGGTAACGATAACGATAAGACGTACTTCTTTCGTACTCATAGTTCTGGTTTGAGCTCATGGATGGTAAGAGCTTTGGCTATTTTTAAAAGTTGGATACGAAGAAATCTAAGTTGATTTGAACGAATTATATAAACAACCTTAAAATCAAACTTTGAATCCGTAGAATGATTACAGTCGATTAGATGTTCAAGTATAGAACTCCTAACTGCTTTCCTTTCACCCTTGTACAACCAAACTGGGATATGTTCCCGTATTCAAGTTGAAAGCAAGCGTCGGCTACGGCCAATGTACTTTGCTCCTATTATTTTATTCATAAATACTCATCATATCACCTTATCTATTTCTTACACCTCTATAACCTTTAATTATTATAACAAAAACAGGTTGAAATCATGAGTCAGTTGAAGCTAGACCACCATTGAAAACCTGGAAGCACTGGACGGCCGTTTCGTCCTGGTATGGGACTCCTCAGCAGTGTTATAACCTTTTTTATTACGTTATCTGGGTTATTTCATGTTCATATTTCCTCATGGAATTAGTACTTTAACAAAGAAGTTTCATATAAATTCGTTGAAAAGAGATCCTTTCGATGAACTTCGTGTTTTTAATTTTTTAATGTTTAAACACGAATTCTGTCAGCTTTTTTTTTAATCAATAAATGAACAAACTAACCTACCTTAAATTCGTTTAAAGAAGGTGTTATAGACCAGTTGTTTGAAGTTGCAACTTAACATGAAAAATATAAAAAAATAAAGGTAACATTTAGATATTTTAACATTAAATTCACTGATTTATAATATATAACATTATGAAAGCAAGTCAAATAGAAACTCATAGTGAATTGGTTAAATTATATGAGATATATAACGTTGATCTAGATTAAAACACATAAATATTCAGCTTTTGCAGATCCACATGGTATGGAATGTAGAATATCCAGATTTCATATTAGCTGTGAATATTTTATTAGTAGTATATAGTCAAATACAATTAAAGAACGATAATTGTTGAATGTAATGGATGAGTACTTGTTCACATTAGCCATCATTTTGGTGACCTACTGTATCAAGAATAAAATTTCAGTAGAATTCTAAAGAATCCAACTTGAAGTAATTGGATTTTTTTTGAACATTTAAGTGAGTTATCAAAAAGCGGTGATCAAAAATCAGTCTGTACATACGATATATGTTTATTGGATCTAAAATATTCAATTTCTAAATTGTCTGAACATAGAAAAACAGAAAACTGGATACACAACGGATAAGTGCAAAATTATTTCGTGTAACGTCAATAGTTCCAAAGTCGATTGTGTATGAGTTTGAGGGTGAGCACTAATGATCAGTTTGGATTAAGATTAAATGAATCCTTGATAATTTTCTCCTTGACTTCCTTCAATTTTCTTTGAGTTTCAGTTAGGAAATGATTAGTTATGAGATATCAAAATTTGGGCAATTATTAATCTGACTCAAATTTAGGAAAAAATACGAAAATAATTCACGTTCCTGTTCCCTTAAGTTTGAAGTTTAATCTAGTCTGATGATTCAGCGTTTTATGTCCCCGTTTTGGACGTTTGTGTCCACTGTAATGCGACCTCCTATATTTAATGGGCAGTTTTTTTTATATTTAGAAAGACATTTTTACGTAATAAACTTCACACTTCATCTTACAGTTATAGTTAGACCGTATTACTCAAGTACTGAGAAACAGTAGTGGAGAGAATATATAGCGGTTATACAGTGACACCATTAAGTACACTGTTGAATAAAGAGAAATTGAGTTTCAAGATAAAATGAAAATACTAATACCCATATAAGGAAGTCGTTGAAAATAATTTAAAAGAGACTAAAATATATTACCATTAGTTGATGCTGTTCCACATGTATTATCACTGAGTAAATTATTGGCTTGTGTTTCATTGTTAGCCACACTAACGCTACAAAGGACTCCTAAATCTTGATTTAATCCATTCAGAAACAATAAAACCTGTAAAATAATAATATAAATGTTTTAAGGTTTCTAAATTAAACAGGAATTATTGATGGAACTTCTATTTTTGTTTTAAAACGTTTATTTTCCCAATATATTACAGTATCAATGTAACTCGAATAGTGTTTACACATTTCATGCAAAACTCTCATTGGTTTAAATAAAAAGAAATAATTTAAACATTTAAAGTATACATGTTTGTTTGAATGCAAGCTATGCATTAACGTGTGTGGATTATAAAAAATACGCTGGTTCTATGATGCATGATAACTAAACTTTATTGCAACGCAAATGTGCAATTCTTAAAAGAATACAATAGATTACATAACTTCCTGATCTATGTTATGTCGGTGGTAAATTTTCAGCTATGTTCCTTGAAACTACGCTTGTTGGTAATAAATAGTGGATTGTATCCACAATCTTTGGAAATAATTTATGGAGATTTAGTTTAATGTAAATAGTTAGTTAAGTACGTATTTATAGACTTGTCTTTTACTTGCACTTGAGTTATAAGGGTTAGTAATATCTAGCTACACTAACCGAAGTAATGCCAAACAAATATAAATGTATTTTTGTCTCTTGCATATTGGAAAAAAATATGTGCATTAAATTAATATCACCCCCTTATTGATTAAACCTCCGATATAAATCAGATTACACCTTCATGACGGGTTTAGCTGTATCGGGAACAACAATTTCTTATTAGAACTGTTTACCACTGCCTCATTATTCATTTTGTGTGCTAAATATGCTACTTATTAATAGTAAATAGTTTGGTTTTAACAGTTAAATTCACGAGCTGATCTAGGCTAGACCACTATTGGATAGCTGGTGGTGAGTTCAAATGTCTAAAATACTAAAATCTCCACAAAACGCCTTACTAATAGTTTGCTTTTATTGAACCATCTCAACATCTCATTTGGTTGATTTTTCTTTGTTTAGATTCATTTTGTGACCTATTATCCGTAACTTGGTTTAATTTGAACGGTTTTTGAATACGAATTGCTGATGAGTCCCATGCTAAGATAGAACAGCTGTCCAGTATTTCCTATTTTTAAATGGTTGTCCAAATAAAATCAGATGGTGGTGCAAATAAATTTTTACCGGGTTGCGAATTTACTTTTTTGAGTTTCGTCTGATGAAAGCATGTTGCTTTTCCATTGATACTTTGACAGCTTTATTAAAGCCTGGGAACTTCACAATTAGAGGTATATAAATCCGTTTTTCTTCTCATTTTGTTTCACACAACAGACAAATCTAGTCCTTCAATTTCCAAGTTTTGAGATTTGATGCAGTCATTTAGGGTAGAATTCTTACACAGATTTCACTACCTCACTTTCAAATATAATAGAACTGTAATTCAGTGGTCATTGTACTACGTTCATTCGGTTCAATTCAAGTTCATTTCGTATAGCAGGTTAATCTAATGGTATAAATTTGGTTTAGCCTAAAGAATTCAACAACTAGGATATTCATTGTCGGTCTTTTCAAAGATAGGTTATGAAGGTCAAGTATAAATCCGGATTTAGCAATTCATAAGTCAATTCGTTCTCACAAAATGTTAAAACGAAGCAATTAAAAAAAAAACAGAATAGGATAGCATTTTAGGATACAACCGACAAAATATTTTTTTGCGTTGTACTATGGAGAATATTAATAATAATAACTAAGAGAAAATACAATAAACGAACCTGAAACTGTAGACTATACAAATTCACATCATTAGGTGTAAGGATAATCTCTCCATTAATTAATGAGATCGATGAACTGCTTCCTTTAATGTTAATAGACAGTATGACAGAATCATAAATTTTTTACTAACCCTCAGATGTTGCCGACATATACTGACTACCATTAATTGATTGTGCTCTACATGAAATAGTAAACGATTGAGCATTGGAAATTGACTGAATAGCAACAGACACCTGAAAAAGTAATGTCCGATCACTTATGATCTCAAAAACTTACAACTCCATTTGACGTTCCAGAATATACAGTGATAGGGTTTATCGAAACTGATATATCTGTTAAATATATGGAAAAATTACAATTATTTGCTGAAAACCGTTTCAAAGTGTTCAAAAGATGTAAATCCTTATTATAAAGCCTGTTCGATAATTGAGATTAGTCAGCAGGATATCTTGCTTGACATTCATTTCATGTCAATTGGCACTTGGGATTTAGGGGCACCTTCAATCCTAATTATTGAACTCAGAAGTATGAACCTGATTAGCTGAAATGGTGGTTGGCATCCAGACAGAATTCCGCTGCAATTATCTTTTTATTCCACTTAGTAATAATTAGTAGGGATTCAGTGTTAAAGAAAAATTATTTCAACTAAAGGAAAAATGAACCACGAAAGAAATGATGCAAGGATTCCTGTTCGTTCATGGTAATTACTATATAGGTTTACTAATGATTAGGGTACAATGGGATTAGATACCGCTACAGCAAAAAGTTTGAATCTTAGTAATATGATAATATTAAGACATTTTAAAGACAAATGACTAGTTACCTGATTCATCTTTCTTCAGACATGTCACGATAATGTTGCTTTCTGAAACAATCTCACTATGTGTACATAAGACAATTGAATCACGTTTACCTGGTTATAACAATCAGTCGCTGATTAAAAGGAGTTGGTTTCTTCAGGAGACGAATTGTCTTTGGACCAACTGATACAACAGGAGGTTTTCTACACTGGATCAAACTGTTATACAGGTAAAACGTGAGTATCTAAACAACCTTTTAGTTGAGAACAAAATACTCGAATTGGATTTATCATGACAGAAGAAAAGAATTGCATGGCCAGCTTGAGAGCATCGGAAAGTGATGGTTCCACTTGGATTAGAATCTGATAACAACATTTCTGAGAACAAACCATTCGTATCAGAGGCGGTAGGTATTTTAAGAAAGGAACAAGTAGCTGTACTCTGAAAACATAATATGTTTGTAACCATCTTACCCGAAATACGTCTGAAGTCTTTATTGAAATTGGAATTAAAATATTCTGTTGATTCATATTTGTACTATATGAAATGACATTCCCGTCATCACAAATAGTCAAAATAAAGACTAGATTGAATAATAACTCTGTAAAAACTTACAGTGGAAGAATACCAAAACACAAGGATGAGAAAGTACATTGTACAATCTAAAACCTTTGACTTTGGGCGCATCTGTATACGTCAAAGAAACCTGTGAATAATCAAATAAGTGATCATTAATCATCGTCTGAGTGTATTGTCCAGCTTGATCAAATGGCTTGAATTGGCATTGGAATAAATCTTCGGATTAGATCCAAACAAGTTTTAGCTTGATGAAAGTTCAGTTAGCTGCAAATGTTGAAGGAACTAATTAATCAATCAGTAATTTTTTTAAATTAAAAGTCTTTTCTACCTTATCTTTACCAATTTCACACTTCTGTTTCCTTTATTCAGCGTTGTCCTTAACAGCTTTCAATAATAGACACAGCAGGAAATAGAATTAAAAAATCTTTTTCTTCACTTGTGTATTTGTTTCGAAGAAGCAATGATTCAACAGGGATGCGAAAGAAATGATTCAACAGATACTCAACTTTAAACGAGTGTTTCAAAATACCAAACGTAAAGAGGTAGGATAACAAGGTACCAGTTAATTATTCCTCACTTTATGACCTGAAACAAAATTAAATAAAGCATAATCGTAAATCAATTTAAAAACAATTGGTGTGCTAAATTTAGTATGTCACAAATCATTTAGATTCATTTACCAGCTTGGATGATTACAGTGTATTGTCAAATTTAAGTGTGACGTTAATTTGCCTCAGACGAATATCTACACTAGATTCCCTCTCAGTGTCCACTCCACAGGACTTCAAAACAACTAGTATCAAGAACACACGACTAGCCTGACTAGAACGTAAACATATCTCCGCACCATAAACCGACAACAATCCGACGCAATCATAGTAATGAAAAGTGTAAGAGAATATATAACCCATCTAGTGCCTATCAGACTATCCACTAGTCTAACTAAGCAAACAATCAATCATTATTATTTGCGTCCACACATCACCCAGATTGCAAATATTGCTTTCGTTAAAGTCTGGTTATATATCTTCTTTAGAAGTTAGCTTCATACCACTATGTGAAAAGACTATTCATAACTTATATATATATATAAATATCCTTCCGGCTTATTCTAATGAATTGATCCAGTATAATCAATGGCCATTATTCCATTATGGGAGCCTGGTTTCACGAAGATTACCTTTCAGGCTCTTGATCATCGACTATGTCTTAAGAGCTACGAGGTGAATCCGCATGTTTTATCTCTATCGTGCCAAGCAACATATTCCTTTTATGACCCTCATTGTATAACGTTGACTTCCGTGCTTCAAGCCTTCAGGACATTTATCTAGAACACAATCAACCATAAATTAAGGAACTAATAGAAATTTGCAAATGATATGGTTCATAAAAGAGATATAATACCCCACATATTAGTATTAAGAATTTTTAGGTGAATCGTCGAGATTTTTCTTCTAAACTGACCTCTAGCATGTCCCTTAGAGATGATCGGAAAATCTAATTCTTCAAAGCAATACACACTGTTGATTTCATAAGTTCTGTTCCTCGAGTGTGGGCCCACTTAATATCCTTCAGGATTTTCAATGGCAGTATATTGGAGTAGAGTCGAAACAAAAATTAAAGCAGGACAATTTAAATTTATTTTATCTCGTGCTTCCTCATCAGTTGCTTGCAAACATTTCCACATTAAATTCGAACACTAGAGTGAAATAGATTATGGGGTAATAAACAACGAATTTTAATTGTTACTGTTCTAAATAAACGAAAAGCTGAGTAATTTTCCTTGATGACAGTTTTGAGGTGCTGGTGAAAGTTATATAATATGCCTGTTATTAATTAAACGGAGATCTGTGGAACTGTCGTATGATAAGGCAACAGTTTTAACTTTATTGACCACAGATGAATCTATACAAAGTCATAATCTCATAACAAACAACACAATCAGGATCGTTTCTGAGATTTTATAAACACTTTAATGCCACATAACCATTTCTAATAACAAACTAGAGTTTCGTTGGGCAATATCGGATGAAACGCACAGTGTAAATGACTTCTAAAATTTTTTCAACAGTAGCATGAGTATTTTCTGATTAATACAACATACGTAAGTTACAGTTCATTTCTCCCGCTAAAAAGCCTTGCGCTAATGCAGCATTATTATCCTGGTCACTTGCATCTAGGTCCAAAGAAACGCAGCCGGTTCTAGTGAATCTTTCAATAAAATCAGAAATCTTTTTAAACTTGTGAATGTTAGACTAGCTTCATGTAAAAAAATAAATACGACTATCAAACCAATTAACTATTATTATTCATTAAATAAAATACCATTTCTATTGTATTGTTACAATGAAATGTAGTAGTTTGCGCCTGTCCATAAAGTACCACGTGTACTAGGAGAGCATGAAGAGAAGCGGAAGAGCGGAGAACGTGACGAGAAGTCAAATATTTAGAAAAAGACAGTTGAAAACCCAGAAAATGCCCATAACGCCCATATATTTTATTTAAAAAGCAATCAAAAGAGTCAAAATTAGCACAAGGCTCAGATTGAAGCGACCCTGAGATCAAAACTAGAGGAAAGCAACCTGAAACACAGATGTAACACGTGTAATCAGCAGTCACTGGAAGACGGGAAAACCTAAAGCCACAACACACACAATGTTAACTGAACACTTTACACCACAGAGAGAACGAGGAACGGAGGCCAATAGACGTTTATTTTGAAAATTAAAATTCGCGGGGTCTGTACAGAAGGGGAGCTAGTTTACAAACGGTCTTATGAGTCATCATGTAAGTTTAGTGCGTGCAGGGCTTGCTCTTCTTCTTCTAAAGCGTTTATTCTTGCTTGCCCTGCAATAGAAAGAAAACAAAATCTATTAACAACATCATACATGATGATTTTAATCCCGTTACATTGCCCCCTCTCCTAATGAGGCACTGTCCTCAGTGCCTGATCTTGGGCACGGGTATGCTGTCCCTCCTTCAGGTGGTACTTCGTAAAATCTAGTGGCCGGCGGTGGATCAGCGAGTTGAGCATCGAAGGGAAATGTTGTCCGATCGGGTTTTATCTGGTTGTAGTGCACCGTTATCACATCGTCTTTAGGTCGTTGTATGTTACGCAATACAAACGTGGTGGGCGATCGGATGAGGACAATTTCAAAGGGGCCTTGCCAGGGTTGATGGAATTTACTGCAACCCCCTAGCGACGTCATTGGGCGGCGTAACCAGACGCGATCTCCAACCGTATACCTAGGTCCTTGTGCTTGACGATCATATATATCTTTTTGGTGTCCACTGGCCTTGCCTAAGTTAATGTTGACCAGACGGTAGGCATCAGCTAGTCGGTTGCGGAGAGTACGTATGTACGGAACATGCTCTTGTTCTTCGTAGGGCAGCAGGGGTGACTGTATCTCTACTGGTAGGCGTAGTTCGTGCCCGAACAGCAAAATAGCAGGCGAGAATCCCGTGGACCCATGTACCGACGTACGATATGCTAAAAGGCATTGGGGAAGCACCTCATCCCATAACTCCGGTGACGATCTGCTGACAAACGACTGCAAGATGGCTTTAATAGTTCTGTTTGTTCTTTCTACGAGGCCGTTACCTTCTGGGTGATAGGCAGTGGTGTGTGTCTTCTTGATTCCTAATAGCCGGCATATCTCAGTAATGAGGTGGCTTTCAAAGGCTGGACCTTGGTCGGAGTGGAGTGAGACAGGGGCACCATAACGGGAGACCCAGTGATCGATGAAAGCTCGGGCAACAGTAGGGGCGTCCTGCTGTGGAAGGGGTACAGCTTCGCACCATTTAGTGAAATAATCCACCATAACCAGTATGTAGCGGTTCCCGTTTTATGTCGTAGTTAGTGGTCCCATGATGTCTATACCAACTCGCTGGTGTGGTCCTGTCGTTACCATCGGCGTCATTGGTGCACGGGGTGTCTGCTGAGGCGATTTAAAACGGCAGCACGTGTTACAATTCTTGCAAAACTGAGCTACATCTTCGTGTATAGAAGGCCACCAAAAGCGTTGACGAACAGCGTGTTCCGTTCTCCGTTCTCCCGCATGACCAAGTTCACGGTGTACCTGTTCCACAATACTCTCAACTTTCACTCGCGGTACTATCAGTAGGGGTTGTTTTGATTCATTCATTAGGAATAATGTGTCACCATATAGCTTGAAGTTACCCCATTTGGTGCAGATACGACGAGTTGTTACGGATTGATCTTTAAGCTCCCTCATGGATGGCTTACTATTTCCATGTAGCTGTCTTTGATAAACAATCTGTAAGTCTGGATCTGCTGCTTGTAGGGAGGGCCAGTCTGTCTCTGGAGCTGTACTAAGAATTGCGTTAATAATATCTGTGGTCTGGGGTATTCGGGAGAGTGCATCCGCGTTTGCATGTCGATTTCCTGGGCGATACTCGCATGTGAAATCGAACTCTTGTAGTCTCTCCTGCCAGCGTGCCACTTGCCCTTCTGGTTCGCGGAAAGAACGGAGCCACTGCAGTGCACGGTGATCCGTGCGCACACGAAAGGGTTTGCCCAACAGATAATGGCGAAAATGTTGTAAGAATTTTACTAGTGCTAACATCTCCCGACGTGTTGTAGAATATCGTGCTTCAGTCTTATCTAATCGTCGACTAGCATACGCAATGACCCTTTCGTGTCCATCTCGAGCTACTTGTGATAAAACTGCTCCAATCGCCGAGGAACTAGCATCCGTATCGAGTATAAATTCGCCTCCGTCTGCTGAAGTATCTGGGAAGGCTAATATAGGTGGAGAAGTTAATCGAGCCTTCAAAGCATCGAACGCCTGTTGACACTCGCTGGTCCGTAAAAATTTTCGTCCTTTGTGGGTTAATCGGTGTAAAGGTGCTGCTAATGATGCGAAATCACGTACGAAGCGTCTATAGTAAGAAGCTAGTCCAAGGAAGCTACGAACGTCTTCAGGTGATTTTGGTTGCGGCCAATTAACAATCACACGTGTCTTTTCTTTATCTGTTGCCACTCCATCTTCTGTAATGCGGTGCCCTAAGAAAAGCACTTCTTTTTGCAATAGTCGACATTTAGATGGTTTCACTTTTAGGTTATGCTGCTTAATACGTTGTAGGACTGCCTTCAAATTGGCATTATGTTGTTCTGGCGTGTTGCCATATACAATAATATCGTCAAGGTAGATTAAGCACTGGTGCGGTACGAGACCTTGCAGAACTGTCTGCATCAATCGTTGAAAGGTAGCTGGGGCGTTAGTTAGCCCGAAAGGCATTACTTGAAATTCATATAAGCCATTAGGCACTACAAATGCAGTTTTTTTTTCTATCTTGGGGTCGGACTTCCACTTGCCAATACCCGGATGCTAAGTCTAGCGTTGAGAACCAGCGAGCACCTTTCATGGCATCTAAGGTAGCGTCTATCCGTGGAAGTGGAAAGGAATCACGCTTAGTTATAGCATTAAGGCGCCGGTAATCTACACACAGTCGTAGGGAGGAATCCTTCTTTTTTACTAAGACAATTGGCGATGCCCAGGGTGACGAAGATGGTACAATAATCTTTTTTTCTAACATATCTTTTATCATGGATTCTAAATGAGGCTGATAATG